GTAGCTCAACAAGTGGTTTGTAGTTCAAGAAAATGGAGATCCCGGGGAGCTTTCCTCCCTCTGTAGTGTAAAGCTAGACAGACCAAAGTGCATGTGAAAAGGTCAAATTGATGGGAGGTTGAGATTTCCCAAAAGTACAGTGTCAGGAGTTCCTGTAAGTGTTTAAAGGGTGTATCTATGACCAAAGAATGTACTACTTCATTGTGAAAAAGAAAAATTGCTATATCTCCACTGGTTTAGATTCAGAGATCAATTTAATTATATTACTCTAAGCTATTCCCATAAAGAAGTGAGAAAATCTGTACCTGTTGCAAATCTGTGTCTTTGTAGTGATATAACTGTGTCCAGACAGCTGGGCTTTTACTTGCATAAAATCAGCTGTGGCCTTTATTTTGGTAAAGACAAGCAAACTCACACTTAGCTCAATTAATCACTCTGGTAAAACGCGCAACTGCAGACTGGCTGTCAGCAGCACTGAGGAGGTGCCGCGTGCTTGGCTGAGTTTGCACATGCTTGTGGAGCATCTTTTGCATCATGACATTTGTTGCTCCGCTGCTCATGATGTTCTTTATTGTTCAGATTTTTGAGCAAAAAAATATTCCAGTCCTACGATGGGCATGGGGTCCCTTGTTGGGATTTACACACTGGGGCACCAGAAGAAAGGGGCACTGTGGAGATGGTGTGAGAGCTGTGCTCATGGTGGGCTGTCCTTGCGATTTGCCGAGCAACTTGGCACAGGGCTCGCTGGGCTCACTGGCTCGCGTGGCCTCGGATCACCAGGTACTGCTAGGAGATGTGGTTTTGGTCTCAGGAAGGTAAAATGAGCCCTCCAGATCAGTGTGGCCCCCCAGGGCATCCTGCTGTGGGGTCCTAGCAGCAGGCAGAAGTGGTGAGGCTGGAGAGGGAGTAAACTCCAAAGGCAGGTGAGCAGGGAGCAGCATTTTAACCCAGTGCCAGTGTCCGGAAGCTCTGGGGCTATGTTGTGCACACCGCTTTAAGGGGATTTCAGGGGAAGTTGTGACTGCCTCTTTTTGCAGCCCTGGGCTTTGCTGCACCGTCTGAAGGCCACAGTGCAGATACACCAGCCAGAAAGTCAGCTTGGGGGTGGGGGTGAACACTCCTTTCCTTTCTGATGACAAATGCAAGAGAGCAAGGCAGCCTAACATCCTGAATTAAAATGATACATTCCCTGTTGGAATGCCCCCCCATCATTCCAGGCGATGTCGAGCACCACAGCAAATCACTGCAGTCAGCACAGAGGAAAGAGCTGCGGTAGCATCCTCTCCTCTGGCGGAGTGGGATGTTTTTTGACTCCAGCTAGTGTGGCGTTCGGTGAGGGGTGTTTTTGCATAGCTGCTGCAGTTTCCTTTTTCCTGTTTCTCCATACTGTCACATTTCTGCTGTGGTGTGCGCTATGTGGGCACAGGGATGGATGAGTGGGGCCAGCACGGGCAGAACCTTCACCAGCCATGACAGATAAAACTTTGCAATGTTCTTCCTGGGAGCAATGTCAAAACATAAGGAAGACAGAGAGGTGATTAGGGACAACCAACATGGCTTCACGAAGGGCAAATCAAGCCTGACTACTTTAGTGGCCTTCTACGATGAAGTGACTGCATCAGTGGATAAGGAAAGAGCTACGGATGTCATCTGGCTAGACTTCTGTAAGGCCTTTGATATGGTCCCCCACAACATCCTTGCCTCTAAATTGGAAAAATATGGGTTTGATGGATGGACTGTTAGATGGATAAGGACTTGGCTGGATGGCCACGTCCAAAGAGTTACAGTCAATGGCTCAGTGTCCAAGTGGAAATCAGTAATGAGTGGTGTCCCTCAAGGGTCATTACTGGGACCAATACTATTTAATGTCTTCATCAGTGACATAGACAGTGGGGTTGAGTGCACCCTCAGCAAGTTTGCAGATGACACCAAGCTGAGTGGTGCAGTTGATTTGCCTGAGGGATGGGATGTCATCCAGAGAGACCTTGACAGGCTCAAGAGGTAGACCCGTGCAAACCTCATGAAGTTCAACAAGGCCAAGTGCAAGGTCCTGCACATGGGTCAGGGCAGTCCCCAATATCCGTACAGGCTGGGCAGAGAATGGATTGAGAGCAGCCCTGCAGAGAAGGACTTAGAGATACTGATGGACAAGAAATTGAACATGAGCCAGCAATGTGCGCTCACAGCCCAGAAAGCCAACTGTATCCTGGGCTACATCAACAGAAGCATGACCAGCAGGTCGAGGGAGGTGATTCTGCCCCTCTACTCTGCTCTGGTGAGACCCTACCTGGAGTACTGTGCCCAGCTTTGTAGTCCTCAGCACAAGAAGGACATGGACCTGTTGGAGCAGGTCCAGAAGAGGGCCATGAAGATGATCAGGGGGATGGAACACCTCTCCTATGAAGACAGGCTGAGAGAGTTGGGGTTGTGGCTCCAGGGAGACCTTATTGCAGCCTTTCAGTTCTTCAAGGGGGCTTATAGGAAGGAGTGACTTTTTACCAGGGTCTGTGGTGATAGGACAAGGGGCAACAGTTTTAAACTAAAGGATGGTAGATTTAGATTGGATATATGGAATAAATTCTTTTTATGATGAAGGTTGTTATGATGAAGGTTATGTCCAGTGAGACACTGGAACAGATTGTCCAGAGAAGTTGTGGATGCCTCATCATGGGAAGTGGTCGAGGTCAGGCTGGACGGGGCTTTGAGCAACCTGATCTAGTGAAAGATGTCCCTGCTCGTTGCAGGGGGGTTGGCCTAGATGATCTTTAAAGGGCCCTTCCAACCCAAACCAGTCTATGATTCTATGAATTACTGTATGCTTTGTTTGCCATATGTAAAGTGTCATACGGCACCACCCTGCCTTCCTGTCCTTTGGAAAGTTTTATCCACTTTCAGTAGATGTTTAGCTCCTTAGTCATCAGGTTGCACCTCTGCCGGAGAAGTAACATGCCTGGGGCTGAGAGCAAACCCTTCTGGCCCTGGGAGCTGCCCGTGGGGAATGGCCCCTCTGCTGTGCTTCGGAGCGGCCTCCATGGATGTTTAATTTATGAGGGGAGACAACAGCCTTAGCGTTGTTAGGTTAGTCTATGCTGTGCAGGTAAAAGCCATTTTAAGGCAAGGGTGAGCTCAGCACAGGCTTTCCCAATGCCGGTTGCACAAAGCTTGGCTGGGATCTTCCTCCCAAGGATACTGAGCCTGGACCAGAGTCTGTGCTGCTGGGCAGGTTAGCAGTGTGCTTGTGTTTGAGAATGGGCTCATGGCTGGTCTTCGCACCATTTCAGTACCTTTCCGTGCCACTGTGGATGCATCGGGCAAAGCACGAGAGCTGAGATGGGAGTGCGGAGCTGTGTGTGCGCTGTGTCTGGGGGGCTGCAGAGCCCTGTTTGCTTTCCCTCTAGTTTGGACAGAAGATACGGCTGAATTGCTGGCTTTCCTCGCTGTCATATGGCTTGGTGGGGACAAGCTTGTTAGAGCAGCACTGCTTGCTTTTAGGGCAGGGCTTTAAAATTGCCTTCGCTTTTCATCTTGTTCTGCTGCAGTTGAAGGCAGTGATGGGTTATTGTCAGTAGAATTAGGCCAACGCTGAGAGCTTTTGAAAACCCAGCTTTGAGAAGCCATGTAGGTGCTGAAGACAATGGTAATCATATTTATTATGTATTTATATAGCACAAAATCCACTGTCTAAAAAATAATATTCACGGATCTTTGAGGCCAAGTGGGGTAAATACATCTGTTCGTTAGGTCTCCTGCCTTGTGTAGGGTACAGAAATAAAGGCAGCGATAGCTACAGCAAGCGTAATAGCTTGTGGTTAAGCTAAAATACAACTTTCAGAAGGTGCTTGATTGCAGACTTCAGGTGGGGTCCAGCAGCCAGCTTATTTTCCAGCCAAACTGGGCTCTGACACAGATGTCCTGCTTGGTCTGGGTTGAGTCTCTTAGACAAGCGCAGTGTAGAAATTTCACAACTTTGGCATCTGGGCTGAGGAGTGCTTCAGCCAGTGCACAGCGAGGCTCTGCGTGGGGCCGCTCACCCTGGCCGAGACTCCGAGGCTGCCTGTGCAGTGGGTGGAGGGATGGAGGTGGGTCCAGTGCGGACTAGCTTTGAGCTGCTCCCTGCCTGAATTTCCCCCTTTTGAAATAGGGGCAGTCTCCCCTCCTGAGCTCGCAGGTCTGAAATGCAGGACAGAAGTGAGGGACTCCAGTCCTGCCTGGCCACCAGCCACAGGGTTACCGTCACTGTGAAGACGTCCTCCTGGGTTATCCTCCAGCCATTGCAAATCGTGTCTTGGGTGGATTAAAGAGCTGCCTGCCGTCAGAAAGCCTAGCCCACAAGCAGGTCCGCCGCCAGCTCGCTGCTTATCCTTCCCCGACACGAGCTTGGTGGGTGATGGATGCCGTTAGTCGGGGAGTGACACAATGAGGTCTCGCACTGGAAGATGGCTTTCGTGGCTCACCATGATTGACCGGGGCTGTGCCTTCAGCAGCTCCGCAGCAGCCCTTCCCTTTGCCGCTTGCTAAATCCACTCGGGGACGCTGCTTCACTCACATCACTTCCTTTCGCCTCCCAATTCGGCCGATCAGCTGGTCTCGCTCCAGGCAGGGAGCGGTGTTCGAAGGGTGAGTAATGCATCCCTTGTGTTTCCTTCGAGCCCGCTGGCTTATGCTTCTCAGCGGTGGCATTTGTGGCAAGGGGGGCAGGGGGAGGCTGGCTGGCTGCTGAAATATTAGCTGCGCACCTAGGCAAAAATGCTGTTTTCGAGTCAATGCTTCCTTTATCCGTTCGTGCCAGATGTATATACATCACTGTCAAGAGCAGGCGAGGAGACAATTTACCCGGTCCCTGCTGCGATTGTTGGTATTTAGGAGTGACTAAGGACCGGAATCACGACCATACAGTTATAACCCTATTAATAAACCGTGCAGTCATTAGGTGAAAGCTCCTGTGTGCATTTTGAGGGCGCGAAGCTCTAACGCCTCCCCCCGCGTGTGCTTCCCCGCAGCCGACAATGCCAGCCGCC